CTCCAAAGCGAGTTCCAGGAAAGGCGCAAAGCTACACAGAGAAACCCTGTCTCGAAAAACCAAAAAAAAAAAAAAAAAAGTCAAAAGCCAGGCATGGTGGCACACACCTTTAATACCAGCACTCAGGAGCCAGAGGCAGGTGGATCTCTTATGAGTTTGAGGCCAGCCTGGCCTACATAGTGAGTTGTAGGTCAGCCACGGCTACATATAGTGAGGCCCTGTCTCAAAAACAAAACCAGGGGTAGAAAGATGACTTAGCAGCCAAGAGCACTGACTGCCTTTACAGAGGACCCAAGTTTGACTCCCAGCACTCACGAGGCATCTCACAACCATTCAGAATTCCCGAATTCCAGTTCCAGGGAACCTAATGTCCTCCAAGGGCACCAGTCATGCATGTGGTACATACATGTATGCAAAATACCCAAACACACAAAATAAATCTTTTTAAAAATTAAAACACATACAAAATAAACAAACAAAAACAAGAAAACCTACAAACACTGCCTCCCCCCAGAATGTTTTTAAGATTGGCAAGACTCACAGAAACACTTCAGAATCCTGGCCCAGTAAAAACTTGAAACCAAAGGCTGGAGTAGAAGACTGTTTTATTTTCATGTTTAGGTTCCAAGTTAAACGGAGCTTAAACAAACATCCCTCGGCTTTTTAAGATTGGCTTCACAGCTCAATCTTTAGAGGCCAAAATTTATATGGCACAGACCATGCCTGCCACTTTCAAATAAATGGCTTCTGTAAGCTGTGTTTAGCATGCAGGGGAGTTTTTGTTGCTTTGCAGTTATGAGTCAGAGAGAATAAAGCAATTATAAACACATGCACATTCTCTCTCTCCGTCTTTTCCCGTCCCTCCATCCCTCCCAAGTGTGACAGCGAGAAGCCTGTCTTTACCAATAACTAGTGGTGCTCTGAAGTCACCTAGCCATCTGAAGGCCTCTGTTTGCTCATCACAAAAACATGGAAGAAATGAACCCCAAGGTTTTCAAGTCTTAGGTTCTCAACAGCCTTTTGATGCTGTTCTTGTGGCTTGGGGGAACTTAGTGACAACATCAGGTAGCTGTCATGATGTGATATACCTAGGAAGGCACAGCATGCCAAGTGACAAAGTCAGGGAGGAAGGAACAAGGAAAGTCCCCACAGCTCGTGCCGTGTGGGCTACTTCTGCTGGCCCAATAGAGAGAATGAGCTTCTGCCAATTTTCCATGGGATGGGAGTGGTGCCTGGTCTCACCACACCCACCACAGCCAATTTTTCCTAAAAGAAGTCCAGTGGGGACAATAACAGTGAGGCATCAAGTGCTCTTTATCATGACTAATAGGGCAGATCAGTTTCCAGTTTATTTATTTATTTATTTATTGACAGTTTCTCTGTGTAGCTCTGGCTAGCCTAGAACTCTCTGTAGCCCAGGCTGGCCTCGAACTCAGTGATCTGCCTGCCTCCTGCCTCCCCAGTGCCACTACGCCCAGTCAATTTCAATTAAAAAAAATAAAATCAAAATATTTTCTTTCTCTTACAAAAGAAACTTTCATTCTTAACAGTTGAAGAAGCCCACAGTGAGCAACCAACTGCAAGAAAGTCTCAATTCAGAGACAAGGTCACCCCATGTAGACCAGGCTAGCCTCAAACTCAGAGATTTGCCTTCAAGAGTCTTAAGTCCTATCAGCCCTGCCTGTGATGGGACAGTGTCAACAGAGTAGATAGAGGGTACCAGCTGGTGAACTGGTTCATGGCTGCCAAACATCAAACGAGGCCAACCTAGAGAGCTGTTTTAGGTGGCTCTCAGGATGGTTTTCTGGAAGAGCTCCTCCACAGGACAGTCCTGGAAAACCTGTCCCTCACTGTTCCCATGCCCACTCCCCCATTTTTGGGGTGTGTGTGTGTGTGTGTGTGTGTGTGTGTGTGTGTGTGTGTGTGTGATTTGTCAACTGTCTCACCTTTTCCTGGTCACATAGCAGCCGTGTGTGTGGACAAGGAGCTGGGGATCTCCATCAGACCCCCAAGCATGGCCTTCAGTGCCACATGCTGGTCTACCCGCAGAACTTCAGGCTAGAGTCTGTGCAAGCCTGCCTCTATGCCCTCTTCTCTGGAGAGGTTCCTTCTACAGTCAAGGAACCAAGGTGACTTAAGAACTTAGTGTTCAATGCTAGACACAAACAGAAGGTGTCTACTAAAGGTATCTGTGGCAATGCCATAGGAATGCTTGCCGTTAGAGGGGTGACAACAGGGAAGTGTGACTGGCTAGCCAGAGCCAGGCCTTAAGGTCTCATAACCTACTCCTTTCAACTGCACATAAGGAATGGCAGACTCTTAGAGAGTCCACCCAAGACCACAAATCAACTCTAAGTTGCAAAGCTTAACCTCAAACTAGGCATGGTTTCTGCCAGAATGCCAGAGCATGAAATTATGTTTGTGCTTTTTTAGAAAGGGTCTGACCACTATCTCCCATATCCTTGTAAATATGACACAATACCAAAAGAGTAGCATGTTAAAATTCAGCATAGGGATTTAAGACATTCAGATACAGTAGTCCCCTTTCTCCTTGAGGGACACATTCAAGGCCCACAGTGAATGTCTGAACGCTTTAAGCACTTTTTCAAATACATATAGACCTATGATAAGGTGTCATATATAAACTAGGTACAGTAAGACAGTAACAATATTTGTCAATATTAGAACATATGTAATAAAAATTATACAAATTAGTACCCTACATCTTCAGTTGATCTGATAACCAAGATGGCTCCTCAGTGCCTAACTGGTGGGTAATTTAGAGTGAATACAACTAACAACGAGAAGACCTGACCAGGTTTGGCGTGCTCACCTGTACTCTTAGTACCTTAGGACTCAGGAGGTCAAGGCAAGAAGGTACATGGCCACCCTGGGCAATATAGCAAGATCCTGTCTCAAAACAAAACAGTAACAAAAAAGGACCCCTGGGTAGATGTGCAAGATTCCATCTCACTACTCACAATGGTATGCAATTTAAAACTTAGGAATAGTTTACTCCTGGGATTTTTTAAAATATTCTCACACCTCAGGTACTTTCGAAACTACTATACTCCCAAATTATCAAACAAATCACAGGTTTTTCCACACACACACACACACACAAAAAAAAAACAACTTTTTTTTTTTTTTAATATATACATTGGTGTTTGTGAGGGAGTCAGATCCACTGGAACTTGAGTTATAGACATTGGTGAGCTGCCATGTGGGTACTAGGAATAGAACTCAGGTCCCCTGGAAGAACAGCCAATGAATGCTCTCAGCCTCTGAGCCCTCTCTCCAGTACGCACCCCCCCCCAAAAAAAAAACCCAACTATCTTACAATCAGCTTTATAAAGTGCAACTTACTGGCTCATTATCCCCTAATCTGTTGTATGACTGCAACTCCTGACACCATTTTTTGGTGGTGCTGAGTCTTGAAGCAATGGCCTCATGCATGGTTCGAGGAAGCAGTCTACATATCCACAGCTGACTGTGACTTTAAAGGTGGCACAGGCTGTCAGGTCACTGAAAGGGCTGCCCAGGTGACTCGCAAAGACAGCTGATGGCAGCCTCTTAAAAAGGATACAGAGTCTAGACAGACTTCACCGGGAGTTTGTGTAACTCCAAAACCTAACCTTCTAGGGAGGCCACATAGAGCTGTCTAAATACTAAAAGACTAAAAGATTTTCCTCAACATAGATTCATCAATTAAAATGAGAGCCACCTTCTCAGTCTCATGTTCACAAACGCTACACATGACAGAACCAAAACTTACAAGGTAGTTACTCTGGGATCTGATTAAAAAATAATGTCATGAGCTGGGAGTTAGGGCACACACCTGTACCCTCAGCACTTGGGAGGTGGGGGGCAGGAGGCTCAGGAGTTCAAGGTCAACCTCCATTACATAGCAAGTGGGTTACAAAGAGACGCTGTTCTCAAAAAAATAAAAAAAATAGATAAATAAATAAAAAAGCAAGCAATTACTGTTGCAAATACAATTATTTGCTCCAATGCCAAATTTTGTCTTAGCATATGAACCTTTAAGTAACCAAAAACTCAATGTCACCGGAGAAGTGAAACCAAAGTGACATTTGAACCTAGAACCAATGACAGCATGTCCTTCAATTTCAAGGGAAGAGCTTCAGGAACTGAAAGAGCTTTAATGACATGCACAAAATCTCCAAGGGCATATACACTAGGTAAAGTTTCTGAAGGCCTGTGTATTGTTTAGCCCCCCGGGACGGCTCTCTCCTGTCTCCTTTACCCGAAGGTCTAACTGGGCTAGGTCTTCGGAAGCACCTGTGGCCTAAAAAGCTGTGACCGAGTCTCAAAGCTTTCTTGGCTGCAGCCTACAAGCAGGTCCGGCCATTCTATTTTGGGTCAAGGAGACCTTCTACCACCCCAAGTGACCTCAAGTAGACAAGCTCGGTTTGGGAGAAAGCCCTGCTAGAATGTCTAACCAGGCTAGCAGTCCACCCCCAACCCCAAGGCCCTTCCCGAAAAGGATGGAAATCGGGGGACGGTCCAGGCAGCGGGGGGAGACGAAGCGGGCCTGTGGGCTCCTCCCGGCTGTCATCCGTCGGCTCCGGATCCCGCAGCTGGGGCCCGGCCGGCCGTGGCATCAGGAGCTCGCCAAGAAGCAGGGATTCCCGGGGCGCCCAGAGGGAGGAGGGAACGAGGCAAAGCGAGGTTAGCAGCCTGCAGGTGTCGCCGAGCGAGGAGGACGAGGTCGCGTGGGGGCTGTGACTAAGAAGAGTGCGGCTCGGCAGCGGGACAGACTGGACACACTCCCAAGGCGGTGACCTTGGGCACGTGGCTCCACCGCGCTGCCCCTCAGTTTCCCCATCTCTAAAGCAGGGGGGGGATCGCAGGAAAAAAACAAACAAACAAACGCGTCTTGGGGTGCTCGGCGGGGCGCTGCCAGCGCTCCGCGGGGGAAGCAGGGAAGCCTCGCACTCCGGAGTCCCCGGGAGGCGGACCCGGGGCCGGGGGGGACTCACCCAGCACGTCGGCCGAGCGGTGGCGGGCCACGAAGCACGCGTCGTCCCCGTAGCACGCGCCTTTCTTGAGCAGGCCCTTACGGAAGTCCTTGCCGAAGCCGCAGCCCGCCGTCACCAGCCCGTAGTCGCCGCCGCCGCCGCCGCCGCCGCCGCCGCCGCCGCCGCCGCCGCCGCCGCCCGCCCTGGGGTCGGTCTGCGACAGGCCGCCGAGGACGGCGCGGGCCACCAGCCGCCCGTACGACAGGACTGAGAACATCGCCGCCGCCGCCGCCGCCCCCCCGAGGAGGCGCGGGGCCCGGGGCGCCGGAGGACGCCGAGGCCCGGAGCCGCCGGCTCTCTCCTCAGCCGCAGCAGCGCCGCCGGGGCGTTCCTCAGGGCGGCGCGCGCTGACCACCACCGCCGCCCCTGCCCTCCGCACGGGGCCTCGCACACGCTCCGCGGCGCGCACTGGAGCCAGAGCTAAGTCAGAGCCGGCGGCTCCTCCGCCTCAGCCAAACCGGGGTCCCGGCTGCAGCCGCCACCGCCACCGCCGCCGCCATCTTCCGCTCCACTAGCGTGTTCCGGGCCGCGCCGGCAGCGCCGCCCCCTCTCCGGCCCCGCCCCCTATCGCGGCTCAGGTCCAAGCCCCGCCCCTACTGGTTCGCAGCCCTATGTAGTCACTAGAATTGAGCGTGCGCAAAGGGTGTGGACGCGGTGTCTCCCGGGAGTTGTAGTTCAGCAGTTATAGTCGCTTTGGACTTGGAGATCCAGGATTTGGATTTCCCAGAGGACTGTAAATTATTGAGAATGAAGAGTAGGCTGGGGTTTTTTTTGTTTGTTTGTTATTGTTGTTGTTTTGCGGGGGGGTAAGGGTAAGGGGGTAAGGGGAGTCTTTTTTTTTTCTCTTTTCCCTATCTCTTTTTTCCCTCTTTTCCGATTTTTAAGAGTCTACTGGAGCCCAGGCTGACCTCACACTTAGTCTGTCGCCAAGGTTGGCCTTGAACTCGTGATCTCCTTGACTACAACTTTCCAAGCGCTGGGATTACAAATTGTGTGCCACCATACCCGACTTAACAATTTTTTTTTCAGTCTCTCTCCTCTCTCTCTCTCTCTCTTTCTCTCTCTTTCTCTCTCTCTCTCTCTCTCTCTCTCTCTCTCTCTCTCTCTCTCTCTCTCTCTCTCTCTCTCTCTCTCCCCATTCCTTTACATAACTCTAAGAAAGCAAGACTGGGGTTCTATACCTTACAGTATATGCAGTGGGAAACAGCAGTACACAAACCTAACATTTCCATAACTACGATGCCTTGAAACCCCCTTGTCTAAAACATTTGTGTCCCAGATCTGAGTTGGACACTACAGACAGCCGAGAACTGACAATGATGAGCCCCTTTCTGTCACCTGCCACAAAGCCTTGAACTCAAGAGGTCCGTCCCTCTTCAGAAAGAAAGGGCCAGGACTGGCGGCACATATCTTCAGTCCCTGGCAGTTGGGAGGCAGAGGTAAGCAGATCTGTGAGTTTGAGGCCAGCCTGATTGATACAGCGAATTACAGGGAAGTCAAGGCTACTTAGACCTTGTCTCAAACCCACACACACACACACACACACACACACACACCCCAAAAAATAAGTAAAACAAAAACAGAAGGAGGAGGAAGGAAAGAGGGGCCACTTCTATTATATTTTTTTCTAACGCTCTCAGCCTAGCTCAAACAAAGATACCAAGCACCCTTCCCCAAATACTGTTTAAGTTATTTCCCTCAGAAATTATCTCGGTTGAATAACAGCTAGGATTTTTTTTCTTTTTTAGTATTTTTAAGGGAGTTTTTAAAAAGATTTATTTATTTTTATTTTATGTGTATGAGTGTTTTGCCTGCATGTATATCTGTGTGTCATATGTGTGCAGTTGCCCATGAGAGCCTGAAGAGAGGATTAGCTCCCTTAGAACTAGAGTTACAGACACGTGTGAGCTGCTTTTTGGGTGATGGGAATCGAACCCAGGTCCTCTAGAAGAGCAGCCCATCCTCTTAACTACTGAATCATCTTTGCAGCCCATAATTATTTTTTAAGACAGGGTCTCCTGTAACTTAGGCTGACCTTGAACTTTCTATCTAGCCAAGGCTGACCTTGAACTCACACCTGATCCTCCTGCCTCCACCAATGCCAATTGCTAGGCATTATAGGCACACACTACCGTGCCCAGTTTGGCTCATATATAACGTTGTTATATGTGCATAGATACACAAACACTCAGGTTCCCCGCCCTAGCCAGTAGGCGTGGTGTATAACCGTGGCCCCCAAATACCTTTTCAACTTATTTGGTGCTTTGTTGCTGCCTGGCCTCCTGCCAAGCACACAGCTGCTCCTATACCTCTGTTTTTCATCTTTCTTCTACCAATTAGGATGTAATTCTACAGCTCGGGGGTCCTGTGTTTTCTGTCGTGTTCCCAGACCATTTGGGCAAACCGTCAATAACAGTTCCTTCAATGAATGAGTATTTCACTACAGTCCAGGTTCCTCAAGGGGAGGGATAAGTTGGCAGCCTATTTGTCCGGGTTGAATATAATGCCCGACTCCCTAGAGGGGACTTTGTAACTGTCTGGTCTGTTGGGTAAAAGAAAGAACAATGGGCTTGGAATCCTGCATAATAAAAGGATGGAAGGAAACGGTTGGATAGATGAAATTCACAAATAGAACTGGCCTTTAGTAACCCAGTGTGGAATAATTTTAGTTTAACTTATTGTGTACGAGTGTGTGTGTGTGTGTGTGTGTGTGTGTGTGTGTGTGTACTTGTGCATGCTGGCATACGCATGATGTGGGGAGTTGGGGAGTGCCGTAGCGCAAGCGTGATATCAGAGGACAGTTATCAGGAGCTGACTCTCTCCTGCTGCCTTCCCATGGCTTAGGGACCACACTCGGGTTTCCAGGAGTGCACAGGAAGTGCCTGGACCTGCTGAGTCAACTCTCAAGCCCCAGAATTTTTAACTGTAGCATAAAAATATCTCATCCAGGAATATTTGCCTTTTCCCAGATTCACTTCAAACGGGATCCCAGCTACTTTGGAAATTCCTATTGAATGTTCTTCTTAAAAAAATATAGTTTCTTAATAACACCTAGAGTCCTGCCAATTACCCACTCAACACACATTATTATGTCCACCCTAATGACTCTCATCCTTAAACACTCTTGCAGTTCACAGTGTGCCAAGTCCAAGCTTCTGGAACTCAAAGGTTTCTGTCGGAATTAAGCCTGATAAATCACTTCCCGTAGTGAGTGGCACTTGGTTGAATATACGGATAAAATAGAAGTTCACTCTGGGGATAAAGGAAAGCATTCACACCTTGCCTTATATATATATATATATGTATATGCTACAAGAATTTGTGCATCTCCAGAAGAGGGGGCGGCGCCTCTCTGGAATCCTCTGCTTGGCATTTCCATCTCTGCCAACTGAACTAAAGGTTGCTCTTTAAACCACGCACACCACTAGCCAGTCCCAGCCAGTCAGGTAATCCTACCCCAAGGACAAGCTTTTTTAAGATGGTATGTCAACCCCTGCTCCTTGCCTTGTCCGACTCCCGCAGACCAGTCAAACTTATTTTCAAGGCGTATATAATTACCCAATTTCCGTGTCAGTCATGAGAACCGGTTGGATTGGGCCAGTGGGAACACAGGTGGCTCACTTGCCTGGCATTTGCTGTAACCTACGTCCCAAGGAAGCCAGCAACCTCTGCAGTGATGGGGCCACTGGTCTCAGTGTGGTGACTTTGGGGGTCACGTGCCTGGAGTATGAAGCTACTGAGATTCCTGCCGGACTGGTTGCTCCATGAGGCATGTGGCTAACAGTCCTTTCTCAAAGCTCCCGCGTGCTTTTGTGTTTTGGGGAGCGGGGGGGGGGGGGGGGGGGGGGGGGGGGAGTCTAAAGAAGAGGTTCCCTGGAATCAACGGTTCTGGTGCCAGCTCTGGAGTTTCATCTGAGAAGCCAGGGGAGAAGGCTTTGCAAAACACCTCTCTCTGCCCTCCCCTCGGGGCACAATTCAGATTTGACATTTTGCTGGACTTGAGAAATCCTTAGCCAAGTTACATTCCTAGCACTTCAGGGATTCCTGGGAGGTCAGTGGCCGCTCTCGGGGGCCAAGAAGTGGTGCAAATACCATCTGGGCTCGGGGCACCTCTGTGCCATTAGGAAAGAGCTTTGCACGCGGACTGCCACAGCTTCGGCTCCTAAAAAAAAAAAAAAGAAAAGAGAAAAGAGGCATACATTTTCTAATGAGAACTTCCTGCCAGGCCAGGCCAAAGATCTCATCTGCTCTCCTTGAGGCTAGCCTAACCGAAAGGAACACTTCTCATTAATTGGTGGTAAGGTTTCTCAACATTGAGACTATTGACATTTGGGACAGGGTATGTCTTTGACGGAGAGGCTGTCTTGGACACCAGAGGTGACAGCATCTCTGGCTTCTTACCCAGAAGATGCTGGTAGCACCCTGCCACTCCCAGAAGGTTAACTTAAAAATGTTTGAGCTGTTGCCAGATACCCCCCGGAGGGTACAATCACCGCTGGTTTAGAACCAGTGAGTTATGGTAATACCAGGCAAGTGGACAGATAATTGCCAAGCACTCATTAGGTTAAAAACACCCGGGGTTGGGGATTTAGCTCAGCTGTAGAGCACTTGCCTAACAATCGCAAAGCCCTGGGTTCGGTCCTTTAGCTCCGAAAAAATAAATAAAATAAAATAAAAACACCCACCGAGGCTAGGATGGGAGGAGGGTGACAGTGCGTGAGTGGAGTGAAAATGCAGCTGCCATCAGTCATCCAAGGAGGCGGAATCAGGAAGGAGCAGCTGGCCCCAAGGGTGAAGAACACCAGGACACATGGAGAAGAGGCATCCTAGGAGCTGGAGCCGGGGCTCAGCAGGTAGGGTGCTCACAGCATGCAGGAGGCCTCAGGTTTGATCCCTAGCACCACATAAACCGAACATACTTGTACTCTCTTCGCTCAGGAGGTGGAAACAGGGGAATTCAAAGTCATCATCAGCTATATAGTGAGTTCCAGGCCAGCACAGGTTGCTCAAGACCCTTCCTTCCTTCCTTCCTTCCTTCCTTTCCTTTCCTTTTTTCTATTTGTTTTCTTTTCAAGACAGGTTTTCTCTGTGTAACCCTGGCTGTCCTGGCTCTCCCTCTGTAGACCAGGCTGGTCTCAAACTCACAGAGATCCACCTGCCTCTGCCTCCTGAGTGCTGGGATTAAAGGTGTGCGCCACCGCCGCCACCGCTGCCACCGCCGCCGCCGCCACCACCACCACCACCACCAGGCTTTTAAGACCCTTTCTGAAAGAAAAAGCAAATTAGTGTTGCCAGGCCTGATGGGAGAGGAAGCTGGAGAGTGAGTGGGTATGAGGTTGCCCGTGGGGACTTCAGAGTCTGGAATCCCACAGTGACAATGGTGGCCCAGCCTTATAAAATCTGTAAATAGCCACTGGATAGTAGACTGTAAAGAGAACTTCATGGAGTGTGAATTATATGTCGGTTAAAAAGGCCGCACAGAGGGTCGCCCATGCCAGTCTGGGGGTACACAAGGCCAACCCAGGTACCCTGT